GTTTCCTGTTCCTGTCCTGATTAGTTTATTTCATTTGTCCCAGGTGTTTCCCTTGGTTTTATTGCTCCCAGGTGTGTCTCGTCATCCCCTCCTCCTGTGTGTGTGTATAAAATGTGTTCCCACTCCCAAGTTCTCTGTCCGCTGTTGTACGTCTTCCTGAACGTCTTCGTGTAAACGTCTTCCTGAGTTCGTCTCCCTTGGTTCCTGTAAATAAAGTCTTGTCAACATATTCTCCAGCGTCTCCTCGTCCCTCGTGTGTGTGCAACGTGACAGTAGGAACATCACTAGCTTCCTAAACCCATAGTGCTGTTGTCAGCATACTAATTAACCTGTGCCTTAAAGATCAAGGATCAAAATGGCATCAGTGACGTGAACAACCTGGAGCAAGATTTATACCTGTCACATCCAATTGTTACAGCTCCCACCTCCTTGTAATTAAGTGTGAAATTTATTAGCAATTCTAAGTGAAAATCGTGTCCACGCCATTTTTTCAGTGTAATAACAACAACAACAACAACAATAATAATAATAATACTGAGCATAAAGACTTGATGTAATTAAGGTTATACCAAAACATAACTTCCGGGTTTAAATGAATATATTGTACAAAGAAATTATACTGCAGTTCAGATTGGCTGTATTCTCTAGACACATGATTATTTCAATCCACTGCTTCTTGTAATAATTAGAGTTGACTTTAACCTACTGCATAGACACCCTGGTGTCCGTTAATGAAAACAAAGTATTTTGTTATGGGAGAGTCACAGCATAACTAATTGAATTTCCCCTGGTACCACTCCAACAAATGACCATGTGACAGCCCTTTTAGAAAAAAAAAATTGGCAAGCTTGAGAGGTGCTATAATTGAGGTGGACAGATGAACAATTACAGCAGTCTTATTGCCAAACAGTCCATGATCTCCTCTGAGCTGAGGGAGACCTTTACTAGTTGGGGTCACAGGGGCAAGTACAGAAGCATACAAGAGCAGTGTAGGAGTGTGTATTGAAACCTCATGCTTTGCAAATGCCATGTCTACATGAGCCCAAATTCTCATAAGTTCTTACCTTTTGCCAATATAGCAAGCAGAGAGCCTTCAGTTTAATAGCATGTTTAGGTTTACTGCCATGTGTTTAGAAACTTTTAATGGACGCATTTTAATTAGCAACATTTACAGGCTGTAATGAGTGTTCGTAATAGGCTTTTTTACTATCTGAAAATAAGCATTGATGGGGGGTGATTAGTAAAGGTGAAAGGTCATCTAATTAACAACAATTACTTGGATAAGTGGTGCAGTCTTTCAAAGTGTCTTTAGCTCCATCATCTTGCCTTGATGTCAAATCAATCAACATTAATCTGTTTTATTGGCGTAGCTTGTTTTGAATGAACATGAATATGCAGAAAATAACATAAGCAGCCATTTTAGATGGCTGTTTTAATAGAGAAACATGTTCAGCTGACAATAATGCACAACTTACTCATGTTTATCAGATGTTGGATCTGATTTAAAAAAAAATAAAAAATTTACAAAAATAAAACAAAAATAGATGCTTTATATTCATTGCTATAAAAGGACCTATAAGCAGTAACCTTTCATGATGGATAGACAGTTCTACTAACTGTTTAATAAGGCAATCAAATTGAGCTACGCTGGAAACTTGCAGACTGATGCGATTCTCCATCGCTGCACATTTGAGTTATACTCAGATTAACATAAATCAATCAAGCCTCTGATAAAAACCTTTGTAAACTAAATAAATTACAAGCAGTCTTCATTCAATTCTATTACCTATTTACTAGTCTATTGTCTACTGCGCCTCATTAAATATGTAACTTAAGGGCTTCCCCAGGCTTCTTCTTCAGGGTCAAAGGTCATAATTAAATTAGCTGCTTGGCTTTATTTTCCACTCCAACAAGAAAATCGTCTCAGGTTACTTATGTAACCATGGTTCCCTGAGTAGGGAACGAGACACTGCGTCCTCTAGGGGTCGCTATGGGGAACGCCTCGTCGTGACCCACTGCATTGTTAATCATTTTGATCTTTTATTTTAAAAATTGACATAAATCTAACCTTTCATTGGAGAATAAGAATTTAACATGGGGGGAAATATCATTATGACATAAATGTTTTTCTCTAATACACATTGGACACAATTAGCGGCACCCTTTTATTCGATGCTTTTTGAAACCTCCATCTGCCAGTTTAACAGCTCTAAATGTTCTCCTATAATGCCTGAAGAGGTTAGAGAGCACCTGACAAGAGATCAGAGACTCCATGATGCCATGTATCTAAACAAGATGTCCAGGACCTCCAGCAGAATATAGGCCCACAACATTAAAAATACAGCAGAATTGTACACATGGGGTACTTTTTATCCCTGTGTGCACCAAACCCATCTTGAGTGTTTGTTGCTAAAAAGCTCATTTGTTAGTTACATCTGACCATAGAAGCCAGTCCCATTTGAAGTTCCAGTCATGTCTGACAACAGAATATGCTGGGGATTGTTTTTGGATGAGAGCATTTTCTTTTCTTGATTTTTTTTTT